GTTGCTTCCGGGTGAATTCCGGTTGGCATTTGTGCCACCCATCGAACTGGTGGTTTACCAACGGTGCTGAATTGTTCTTAGTGATGGGTCAATATGCAGATTGGAATCAAGATTTCTGTTGTTGTTGTTCGCTTTGCCTCACCACATGTCTCATTTCTGCAATAAACACTTCTGACACTTGTTAAAGATTGGTTTAGCGCTACTACTACTACTACTGTCATGATCACTAATAATGCTATTGTTTTTATTACTGGTTTTAGCATAATTGCGTCATCTGTATTACTCCGAATCACAACGTCCCGTTCTCACGCCCTACTGCCTGTTTTTGCATTACTCTATTGAATTGTAGGCAATTGCCTATGCTAATGCGGATATTCGTGATGCGAAAACCATACGTGACGCATTGAATGCATGTCGTGTTCGGTTTGGTTTACCGGATCTGATTGTGAACAATGTGGCCGACAATTTTCTCTGCCCCAGCGAACGTCTCTCAACCAACGCATTCAGTTCTGTGATCGACTTTGTACTCAAAGGAACAGGCCTGGTCACTTTGGAAGTAGCCAAGGCTCTGATCACTGCCAGAAGAAGTGAGTGCTAAACTCTCCCCTTTGTGGGATCCATAACAGTTTATTCTGGGGATACAGCCTACAAGTTACTTATTGGATATATATATATATATATATATAAGTATACATATATATATATATATATCACACGTCTTATCCCAGACTGTGTCAAACAAATCATAGTACAAAATCTTTATAAAAAGGAATATGTTCCATGATTTGCATGTGGGTTGAATACTGCCAGGTTGCCCAGGTCAAGGCAGGTGAATTTTCTCGAGCAATCCGCAACCGGAGCCATAAGCTAACCAAAGCCTGGTTCGCAAGGCAGCAGGGCGGTGTGCGAAAACCGCAATCCATTGGGAGCCGGTGTCCAGTTCATCGGATCATGCGCCTTTGGATTGGATCAAACATCCAAGGTGCCGGCTCGATGCCCAATCGAGCTGGTGACTACTGACACAACCAAGAAGTTGTGTGTGGTTCGTGGGCCTCTTCTTGTTTGGTTTAGAATCAGGGTGTTTGTTCAACTCCTCTAGGCGAACTGCCAATGGTCCACCAACCCGGTTATAGCCCCGGATATCGGCTATTCGTTCTCTCACTTTGATGAGAAAACACCTCCACCACGAGAATGCAGTGCATAGGGGCTTCCTCATCAGAGGCTATGTGAGACGCTTGGTCATATGGAAGCATTTCGCGAAGTGCACAGGAAGGGTCGCAGCCCTATATACCCATCACCCACCACCACCACCACCACCCCGACCATACTTTCGGAAGCCTTGCTTTTGAATCCCGTAGTCGACCAAACTAGTTAGGCTTAATTGCTTTGTTAAAGTGTTCCACTCTCATGACCAGAAGAAGGTTTCTGTTGTACTCCGAAACTACGCAAATCGAATTGCGTAACAAGAATGAATAGTCGACAATCTAAGCCACGGTACTTGATCTGGTGAATCACATGATGCTTCGGTGGAGTTGAATGGGTATTGCACAAGGTTCTCGGGATTATCCACGAATGGCGATCGATTGTGGATTTCGAACAACAAAATTGACAGCACAAGTGTCGAAGAACGAAACACAATCGGACGATTCGGTCGTTATTCAGAGGAAAGTTAGCATATTTTGGGTGGAAGTGGGTAATAGGGCCACACAACGTTGTTTGTCTGGTCGAATTGATAAGTGAAAGGGATTGGGTATCAGCTATGTTCTATGCACTACAACCTGGAGTGTTCCTGAAGAAGTAGAAATTGAAGTCGAAGCCTAGAGAATCATCGGGGTTGTTGAGCTGATGCATCTAAAACCGTGTGCACTATTTCTTCAATACCTTCCCGTTCCACTTTTGGATTTGATACCTCGTTCTTTTTGTCTGCGCTATGGTTGCCCCGCATCGCTGCCCCTCTAGTTTTACAAACTGAGCTTTATGAGTCAAAGGGAATAATCCATTGAAAGCAAATCTTCTTGGTGCTTGCTGGTGATTTTCTTGAAGAAACAGTTGTCTGAACTTGTCCTGTTTTACTCAGAATACCCAGAAACAGTGCACAAAACAACCGGCTGAAACACGTTGAGAAAAAAGAATTGGTGCATAAAACACAAATGTACTGTGCATCGGCGCAACCGACAACCGATCTCTTCCAAATCCAGTAGGTTTCCCGTAACTCTGTTTGCATCAGTTTCATTTCATCATCTTGTGAAAACATCATGTCATATGGGATAACACCATGTAACGAACGGGCAGCTTAGAGACACTATTGGCGAAAACGGCCACTGATCAGTTCACCGCTTGACCTCCACTCGACCAGACTTGTGAGGGCACAATGACCTTAGTAAGTACACACACATCCGGGATGCATTCCGATAAGGAGACATTCAAATGCGTTTTGACGGTCAAATTGGTCAGCTTTTAATGTCGTATAGTGGTCACTTGACGTGTAGCGTCAGAAAAAAATATACATATAGAATGTGGACAAAACGGGTCTGTTGTTTTCATCTCTTTGGTGGGAGGAAGTAAAGTTTTGGTAAGACCAGTAGCTCGTTCACAATGAAAATCAAATTAATCTTTTTAGATTCCTTTATAAATATATGGGCTTACATCCAGTTGCATTGAGCCTTTTAGGTATTCTCTGCATGTGTTTAGTGCTGCACAACAGCGGAGCTAAGCAATCCAGCTCTACCAGCCTTTCTACTTAATAAGCCTTAACGAATCAACTTGGGGTCTGGCTTTGATAAGAGCTCACTTATTCCCTGGCACAAATTTATTTGATGCTGGACAATCTCCATCACAATGAGTTTTCATGCTCTGGCTATAGCCGAAACCACCGTGTGTCCCTCTAAAACTTTACAAAGTAGTGTTCGGAAAGCGAACCTGAAATCACAACCTATTAGTGGGATGGATGTGGGACAAACAAAGGTGAGTCTGAGAACCAGCTCTTCCTTTGATTCTTCATAATCACTCCCATGACAAACCCGACCACTACGGACAGTTGTCACGGTTCACTTTTCTGGGACCAATCAGTGTTCCATGTTGAAACTCTTACCGGCGGTGGGAATGGCTCGGTGCAAAGCGTTCACTGCTAAATCAGATCCCTCCGCATACGATTACTAAGCGCCTGGTGAGATATGTGCTGAGTAAATTCACTAGCCCATCTGGATCCAATACGTTTGTCCAGTTCAAGTCTGTGGGATCGGGTTTTCCGGCTTCTTCACTCGTGAAGGTTATTGCTTTTGCCTTCAGGCTTGTCTCTTTCACTATTCACTGTACTGTTGCGCCGGACGGGGAAGAATGAAAAGTCGGCACAAACTTCCAACGTCTTTGTGCTTGGAAGTCAAGTCATCATCATCATCGTACAGCGAAATACAGTGAAGCCAACTTCACTGACCGCTACCAAACTCGCAATGCATACAAGGTTAGTGGTAAAATTTAAGGTGGACAGGGCTGGGTCTATTTTGAGAGAGGGAGAAGAAGATGAGCCACTATGGTCAACACAGAGTACGCAATGGAACTCTGCATACATACCTTTTCAAGCATTCTGACCTGGTAAGAAACGACAACAAGAACGCCACTGCT